AGGTTTTCTTTTGATTCTTTTTTTATAGTTTCTATTTGCTGATGCAAGTTTGCTGAGACTTTCCTTCTACTTTTTTCAAGAGTGTTCACCCTTAACTTATTGGAGAACCTTTATAAAAGCTGTGCTATAATTTCAATATCTGTGTTATCTCAGTGTTGCCATGTTTTCCCACAGAAGCTGTGGTTTTCTTGGTTCTTTGCAAGCCAAGTAATTTTGGACTGTATCCTGGGCACTTTTGAGTATTATCTTATGAGATTCTTGTTGTTATTTAAATCCTGTGGAGAATTTCTGTACTTCTGGTTTAGCAGGCAATTCAGTGTATCAGACTGTAAGTTCCAACCAGCTTTTTGTGGGTTGTGGTCCCAATATAAGTTCCGTTTTCAGGCCTTTGCAGTGCTTCTCAGATCTGTACCATGCAGTGTAATGATCTATCCCACACTTCAGTTCTCAGAGTCTGTGATCAGATCCACATGAGGGAAACGTGGGATGCACCCAGGAGTCCACAGACAGCTCTGAGCCGTTGCTTCCCCATGCTCCTCCCTCTCAGTGGTCTCCTCAGTACTTCCGGTTCCTCAGGACTCTCCTGTTCAGTCTTCTGTCCAAAATCCTGGGGCTTTACTACCATACCTTATGCATACTTCCTACAACTATGACTGTGAGAGGAGCTGCAGGAAGACAGGGAGGGGGAGCTCAGTGGACGCTTGTACCACCCTCTTCAGGCTCTGCTCCTTCAGCTGGAGGAGAAGGTGCCCCTCCCTTGGCTTTTAGGTGCCCTTGGGCCCCTGCTTTCACCACGGTCTCTCCCACCACTGTGGGATGATCTGGGGGCTGGGAGCCAAAATGAAAGATGGAAAAATGCGTATTTCTCCCTTTCCTTCTCCCTAAGCCTAAACCGGGGGGCTTTTCTAGCATACTTCTCCCATGCTTCAGTGTCCACATCCAGCTTTTGAGCCGCCCTGAACCCAGGCTAGGATGGGAGGAATCACTTCCAGCTCAGTGGCCCCCTGTTCTTCCCCTGCCTGCTCTGGTTCACCTTCCAGAGTCTTCACACTGCCCCTCCATGCATTCTCCCAAGTGTTGTAGCTGCATCTGGTGGGACATACAGGTAGCCTATCTTCATCTTCACCAAAGCTGACTTCAGGCATGTTTTTTTATTTACCATTATCTACATTAACAGGTTTTCCTGGAGGTTGTGAATTATATTTACTGGGAGGTTGATGGACAATTATACCAAAAATAGATTGATACATATGTAGAACCTAATGGATATAAGAAGGAAAGATGGAGCTATCTGGAAACATTCTGAAAAAGTATACAGTAAAACAAACATTTCATCCTTAAAGTTTGAATACTTTAGGTTTGACTTCAGGAATTTCTCAATGTTTGCTTTTCGGACAGTGTTACTGTAATAGTTTTCTCTCCTGTAACAGGGACAGTGGGATGGGGCTAGCAGGGTCAGGGAAGACTTACAAACTGAGAGACATGTGAACTGAGCTTCAAAGAAGTCAGATTAGTAGCAGTTACTCAGATGAATGGGTAACAGTGTTCTAGCAGAGAACACAGCTTTAAGAAAAAGGCAGGTCTAAATGTGCTTGGTGTGTGTGTCACCGAGACAAAGACAAGAGTAGAAAAGGAGAATCTGACTCCCTTAGCCACTCACTGTGCCTTCTTAGCTATTGCTACAAAATATCCCCACAGAAACATGTGAAATGATTAGAAGCATCTTGGTATTAATTTCAGAAATGCAAGTTTTAGAATTTAGAACATGTGTTAAATCATCGGTCCTGTACTTTGAATCATTCTATCTTGCCATTGATAGTAAGCATCTACATTTCTAATTAAAATCAAGTGCATCTGTCATACTTGTTTTTACTTACTAGGAATTTCATCCTTCAGCAAAATGAACAGGTGCTGTCTACTTTGATCTAAATGTGTGCTATTTGCTTTTGACTTTTTTAAAGTAAACTTTCCATTTTGAGATAATTACAGATTCACAAATAATTCACAGTTGTAGATTTACAAATAATACAGGGAGTCTGTGTACCTCTTACCCAATTTCAAATGGTAACATCTTGTAGAACTGTAGTACAATATTGTAACCAGGATATTAATGTTGATACAGGTGAGATGCAGAGCATCCATGATCACAGAGCTCCCCACTTGCCTTCAAACAATCCGTCCTCTCCTCTTTCCCCTCCTGCCCATCCTTAACCTTGGCAACCACTAAGCTATTCTCCATTTTTGTAATTTTGTCATTTCATTAATGTTATATAAGTGGAATAATGCAGTATGCAATAACCTTTAGATTGGCTTTTTTCACTCTCCATAATCTTTTGGTGACTCACTGAAGTTGTATATATCAATAGTTTGTTCCTTTTATTGCCGAGTAGCATTTCATGACTTACTTCAGCTATCTTTTGCCACTCTTTGAAAAACTGAAGTCTTGTTACCCTGCAGTTTGTCCTTTAGATACTTGCTTTGGTATTTAGACTAAAAGCCAAACCCTCAGGAGCACTCTGGTTTTCCTTCCTAAGTTGCACTTAGATTGGTCAGTCATAATATGTTGACATTATAAAGTCTTATAGGAGAAAAAAAATCTTAGGTACAAGTAGATTCAGTTACTTTATTCCTCTTATATTTCTTAAAACTAGAAGTAAGGTCAGAACACATGAGGGAGAATGCTGCTTGAGAAATATTTAGAACAGCCCCTGTTCCAAGATGCCCTCGTGCTGGTCCCTGGATGGAGCAGGGAGGGGCTACTGGGGGCAGTGATCTTTGGCGAGTGGAGAGTACCCACCTGACAGCCCAGTGCGAGCACCATTTCTGTTTCATTAGTTGACATGATTTTAGTTGTTGAACAAAAATTCCGCCCCCAGTAAAGAAGGGATGATTGGAGGCTTCTAGGTTTCAAACTGTGGTAAATAAGAATGGAACCCGATGCTGACATGTTACATTCTCATGTAAGTAGCCTCGATTTCACTACAGCCGAAGGAATAATTTAATTGAATTGCAGACAGTGTTTAAGTTAGCTTTAACTGCAAGCAGTAAAATTAATAAGGTCCAAAATATCGTTTTAAACTTTAAAATCAGTGATACCTTGGGCTTTCCTGGTGGTCCAGTGTTTAAGACTCTGCGCTTCCACTGTAGCGGGCATGGGTTCAGTCCCTGGTCAGGGAAAGTTCCACATGCCATGTGGTACTGAAAAAGAAAAAAGAAACAAAACTCCAAAATAAATAACTAAAATCAGTGTTACCTTCCACCTTAGCAAGTCATAGCTCTGCCTGCTTCAGTTTTCATGTGAGGAGAAACAGCAAACACACATATGCAATAATAAATATATTACTATCATAATTACCCACTTGGCACACTGTTTATTATTTTAGGTTAAGTAGATGCTTTGGAGGAAGAGAAAAAAAAAATAAACATTGGAGACTTTCAGATGCTTAGCAAATACCAGTGTTTCTCATACAGTATTGTTAACACTTGACCAGGGATTTTTAAATTATCATTTTGCTGATAGCAAATATAAAATGAGAATTCTTCAGTAGAAGTTAATCTCATCATTATCCACTTCAGACAGTGTTTTTTATGCTGATCTAAAGAGGTTTATGCATATTTTAACTATCACATAATGATTATCTTTAAGTAGTAACATAAAAGTTAATGAGTATAGAAAATCTGCCAAATAAATCCACCCAGTAATCCAAGACACTTATAGAAATACATGCTTTAATGTGAGCACAGATTTTACTTGATTAGTGCTTTATTTCTCAATTCAATTATCAAACTTAAGGGAAATCTGAATCAAGATTTTTGATTGACATATTCAATGGGATTTGATTGGAGTGCAGATAACTACACAGTGTTTTAGCATGACTTTGTAAGTCTTCTGATCATAATTACATTATATACTCTGAAAGCAGTTTTTAACTTTTAATCTTTCATATGTGCACAGGTTCTTAATAAACTACTCAATAAATAAAATGTACCTAAATATATAAAGTTTACTTTCTGCTTACCTAAATAATGTGGATATTGACTCTGATCTTACCAGCTCATTACAAATAAATAGGTGTCAGAGGTGGATAAGTGTGTTAGTCGCTCAGTCGTGTCTGACTCTCTCTGACCCCATGGACTGTAGCTCTCCAGGCTCCTCTGTCCATGTGATTCTCCAGGCAAGAACACTAAAGTGGGTTGCCATTCCCTTCTCCAGGGGATCTTCCCGACCCAGGGATTGAACCCATGTCTCCCGCATTGCAGGCAGATTCTTTACCATCTGAGCCCCAGAGAAGGTGGATAATAGACATCTAATATGTTTATTGGTACCACTGTTATCATTTATTACTGCTTACTAGTAGTTAGAATAATTAAGAGAGTGAAAGAAAAGGTATAGTCCTTAGCTGTGTGCTCTGGGCATGCTGCAGGTTGTCAGGGACTCAGTCTATAGTGACATAAGCCAGGGTGGAGGGGAGAGCGGATTTTAGAGCCATTCAAACCTGCATTCATATTCTGCTTCCACCAGCTAGTAGCTGTGTGTCCTTAGGCAGGTTCTTTAACCTCTTCAAGCCTCATGTTTTGGTGGGATTTTTTAACTTATAAAGAGAGAGTTTATGAAGGTTAAAGGAAATGAGTTGATAAAGCACCTAGCACAGTGCCCAGCACATAGCAATTTTGCTTCAGGAAAGAGATGGAAGAGGAATCCTACTGCCTGTAGGTTGAGCTCCTCTCCTAAAAAAAATACCATTAATAAAATCTCAGTATGCATATAATTCTAATATATGTAGAAGTCCAGAATATATATACATTTTCACTCATTTTGCTTCTCTAAAATATGAGTTTTGTGAAAATGCTTTAGCTTAGTAGGACATGTTACTGTACTTATACAAGGGGGGAAAAAATCCAAATCAAATATAACCTAAAATTTTCCTTTCCAGATTTATAGAAGTTAAATGTTGATGAGAGGGGTATCTGTTTTAATGCTTTTGTTATTTGATTTTTAGCAGGAAAGGAAGGACAAGAAATCCTGGGGCCAGAAGCTCGGGCAGATGAAGTGGGATGTGCAGGTACTTTTGCCTTTTTCTCAAGCACTGTCATCTTTGAACAGCCTTTTGTGTGACTGGTTTTTGCATTTGTGAACCCTGCATTTAATCTGTTTCCTCATCTTTATCTTGCCCCCCTTTAAATGTTTAAGTACCTAGGCATATGGGGCACTGTATGAAAAGTTAGGTGTTTATATTCTTTAAATACACTGCAAGCTTAGATAGTCATATAATACAGATATTCATCTGTAATGATGATAAATATAATCTACAGATAATCCACAGAGTAAGTGTTTGAATGATAATTTAAACTTCTGTCAGATTTTTACATAGTTACATAGATCTATTTTGAGTTTCATTATTAGTTACCAGGATCTACATGAAATTGCCCACAAGACTAAAAGCAGAAGAGAGAAAAATAAGCAAATATCATGGATTATCTAGAAACCAGAAAAGAATTATGAGTATTTATAAGTGAACATGTCACAGCAAACAAGAGAATACACTTTTTCTTACCATTTCTGTGACTGAAAAAGGCCAAAATGAAGTTGAAAGTGAAAGTCGTTCAATCGGCTCAGACTCTGCGACCCCATGGACCTATAGTCCATGGAATTCTCCAGGCCAAAATCTGGAGTGGGTAGCCTTTCCCTTCTCCAGGGGATCTTTCCAACCCAAAATGAAGTTGAATTATAGTAAACAAGGAAATTTGCTTCTAGGTGACTATATTAGTACATAGTCTCCGAGCCTTAAGGCTTTTCCTCTATTATTTGATTCCAATCAGATTTAAGAAGGAAAAGAGTAAGTGTAAATCTTAAGTCCAGATATTTCATATGATAATGTCCAATATATGATAATACCAGGCACTTATTACTTCTCATAAGGCAGTCTTTGAATGTAAACTTCAAAAAGCAATTCCAAATTATTAGAATATTTCCTTAAAATTCTGCACTTAAAAGTAGTATAATTGTATTCTATATATTCTACCATAGATTAGATATTTCTATCATATAGTTTTAAATTTTCTTTGTTTCTTCTTTGGCTTAACATTTATAGTTTTTTTTTTTTTACATTTATAGTTTTTTGTTCTTTGCAGTACATTTTAGGAATATTCCACAGAGCCTTATAAATCACCTTGTGTTGTGTATGATGAGTGTATTTTGTAGTAATGTGTCAAAAATCGATTTTTACCAATAAGCATCAGCCCTCCCATACTTGTCATTTCTATAAAACAAAGAGCAAGCCTTTGTACTCTAACTGAAAGTGCACTCCAAATTAATCAAATAATGGAATATATGATCATTTATGGTGCCACAGCCAAAGATTTTGTATTCTGCCTTTAATGTGATTATGTTGAACTTGCATGAATAATGTATTCAGGTATGCTTATTATCAAATATTTGTCAGGCTGACTTATACATTATATAAAATATTTAAACGATATATTTATTGTTAGTAAAATAGTGTTAATGAACACAGAAGAATGCTGTTCATTACTCTTCTATTTAATGTTAAATTGTGACAACTCACATCACCAGGGTAGTAGAAGGTCTTCTGTAGAAGATCGTTTGCCCTTTGAGGCAAAGTGCCAGCAAAAAAGACACCTAGAGTTCCAAGTTGACAGTATTTTACCTCACAGTTTGCTCTTCAGTACAAAAATGAATTCATGCTTTCAGTTTGAAGTACTGAGTGATACATAATTTCCCTCCCTCCCCCAAAAATAGTCAGGTCTGGAACTAGAGTTCAGGCTGAAATACAGCACCCCTGTCCAAAGGAGTGAGCCCTGTTACTTCCCTGGCCTCGGGGAGTTAGGAGCAAACAAACATTTAATAAAACTCTGATAAATGCAGTTTCCAGCAAAGAAGGGTGGAAATTAGATGTTTGAGACTTCAGAGCAGTTTAACTTCAAAGTCATGTTTCACCTTTGCTTGTGTTATTCCCTTCACTTCCAGGGAATAATGTGCTGACAAAGTAAACAAAACCATGGCAAGAGGTCACCATCATTAGTTTAGAACTTTGTCAGCTCCTTTCTCAAGCTCACTTCCTTCTGCAGTTCACGAAGTGAGGAGAACTATAGTCTCAGCTTAGTATTCAGAGAGTGAAAAAGTCACCCAAAACAGCCTTTGTTCTTCTAAGCATCCCTTCTTTGTTTGTTTAGCTGATACTTGTGCACAGTTTCAAAACTGGAGGATAAAGATTGGAGGAAGCCTAACTATCCTTTATTCTTATGGGAGTAAAACACTGATAGCCTCATAAAAATGTTATTCAGCCTTTATATTAAAGGTTTGCCTCTCTAGCCTTGCTTTCTATAATTTGTGATTATAATCCTACAATTGTACACTTTGACCAATGATTATAATCCTATCATTCTATACTGTGACAGTTAGTTCAGAGTTTTGTCACACCTGAAAGAAAACCAAATTGTCATCATATTCTCAGTATTTGCTCATCTCTTTAATATTTAAACACATGCATTTATTAGTCTTTAAGACTAGGAATTTTGCTTTATAATAGACCTTTTCACCACATGCACTTCCCAGCACTTTAAGTTTTAGGGGTAAACCAAGGAATGTCTGGTCTTAGCTTGAAATTGGCTTGGTAAGTACAAGTTCATGGAAACCATGTACTTTAGTTGGAAAGAGCCCAGCTTTCGATACTGAGTCATCTGCTCTGGTTCAATGTTCACCTTGCAGGACTGCTTTGAAGAAAATAGATAATAATTACAGAGCCCTTACTATGTGCCTGGTACAGTACTAAACACATACTGTGTTAGTTCATTTAATCCTCCCAACTGTCCTAGGACATACTGTTACTACCCTCCAGATTTTATATTATACAGACTGATTATGTATTACCTCCCAGGTGATTATGTATTACCTAACCCTTCATGTTAGTAAGTACAGTTGACCCCTGAACATCACAGGTTTGAATGGTGCAGGTCCACACATAACACGTATTTTATTTAATAATAAATACTGCAGTGCTTCACAGTCTGGGGTTGGCCAAGTCTTAGGATGTGGACTCATATACAATGAGGGCTGACTCTTAAGTTATACATGGATTTTCCACCACTTGGAAGGTTAGCACCCCTAAACCTCATGTTTTCAGGGTCAGCTGTAGTTATAACCTATTATCTGGTACATTAAAAATGACATTTCTGACATCACTGTTGTATTTGAAATCCACAGCAATTTAATACCATTCATTTTTTAAATATGAATACCTCTTTGAGAGTCAGAAATGTTGCATCATAATTTTTTCTCCCTGAACTCCTATAGAATTTAATGCTAACCAGTGTATATTTCCTGTTCAAAGATACTTTTGATCAACTGTCATTTCTTTGCAAGAAAAACATATATATAAATTGAAATTTAACTTTCTGTTTAGTTTCCAGGGACTATATGACTCCTAGATTTTTTTGAATTTATGGATTGCTTTATCCTATGATCACTGATCACAACATACATGACAAATTTTAATAACTACAATTTACCCTTGAACAACCTAGGGGTTGGGGCGCTGACCCCTCTGCCCAGTCAGAATCCATATACAACTTACAGTGAGCCCTCCTGACTACCTAGCTCCTCCGTACACAGGGCCCTTCTCTGTCTGTTGGTCCACATCCATGGACACAACCAATCGTGGAGCACAGAGAACTCTAGTATTCACTATTGAAAAAATCCAGTATAAGAGGACCCATGCAGTTCAAAACTGTGTTGTTCAGGGGTCAACTACTCATTAAAGTAAAATGTTACTGGAAATGAGATTAAAGGAGCCAAAGTATTTTTTAATTAGCCCATATATCAGTAGTTTAATGTCGCTTATTCTAGAAGAGAAAGTATGGAGCATTAATTCTGTTTCTGGTTTTTCTTTAGCTCTGAGAGAACTTTATTCTCATAAATAAAAAGATGAAATAAGTTTTTGTTATAAATGATTTATTACATTCTTCATATATCTTCAGAACTATATGCAACAAATTATGGTTATCTATTAATAAGAATATTTTAATGACTTGTCAATGACCAGTTCTATTAAATGCGCCTTCAGTTCTGTTGAAAGCAAAAATTCAGAGCCACCTATTTCACTAAAGGATTTGTTTGCCAGTCACCAGAATCATTCAGGCCCTCACTTCCTTGGGTATATACCAAAAGGCTTCAGCCATACTTACTTACCAAAAGACTAATGATATCTGTTCTGACTTTTGCTACTTTTTTACCCTAACTTAGAGGCACCTTGTGTAATATATTCAGAAATGGTTGGGAATACTGAAATATTGCTAATGAGTCAGTACATTTTTAAATAAAAATTCTTTTAATACCTGAACTAACTATATTTTGATCAATTTCTTAGAGCTTTAAACTTATTAGTTCATTCAATTTCTGGAAAAAATTTGTACCTAATAACCTTATTAGTGAAACCAATTATCACTGTTAGACCATCAGCCAAGTCAGACTTTCTGGCAGAAAAATAAAGTGTGTCTTCATTTTTCTAATTAAAATGAATGTGTCAATACACATTTTGAGAAATTTCATAAAATTTTTATATTAATATGAAGAATATATAATTATAAATAATGAGGAATGTATAAAATTAAATAAATACTTCTTTAAAATTTATTAAAAATTCTTTAAAATTTATTCTTTAAAATAAATTCTTTAAAATTTATTCAACAATGAGGTTAAGGTTATTTAGATTTAATCTAATTATTCTGAGTTGTAAAAATCTTTGTCTCCAAATGAGTATATTTACAACCAGTGTATAGATAAGTTTATAACTTATTGAAGATATAATATTCATGTATAAAATACATATTACATATATAATTCTGAACAATGTACACTACTTAAAACCTTACCATTTCATCATCTAGGATATATTTAGCTACTAGGCTAGAGAAAATACAGACATTTTAAAAGTGGAGAATATTTAATTGAAATAAATATTTTGTGATATAATCTGATAAAAGTATTTTTTAAGTTGTCAAATCTATATTTCCTCTATAAGAAATCACATAAATATAAATTTCATTTGTGAGTTTATTTTTTAGTTGTTGTTGTTCTACTTTTTAAAAAAATTTATTTATTTTAGTTGGAGGCTAATTACAGTATCATAGTGGCTTTTGCCATACACTGACATGAATCAGCCATGGGTGTACATGTGTTCCCCATCCCGATCCTCCCTCCCACCTCCCTCCCCCTCCCATCCCTCAGGGTCATCCCAGTGCACCAGCCCTGAGCACCCAGTCTCATGCATCTTAATCTAGTTTCACTCAAATATCTGAAGTTACATTGAAAAGATCTACTTAAAAAAATAATGGTAATATATAGTGGAACTATATGTAACTTTGTTCTGTGTTTTCCAAGTCTCCTGTGAATGTGTTATCATACTTTCATAATTTAAAAAATAAAAATGGAAAATAAAATGATAAAAGATATAACAACACAGACTTGTACTACTTTAGCTGTTCAGAAGTGCTTATTGTTTTAGCTAATGACAGATCCTAGGAAAGGTTTTCAAGAATACTCCTTGCTTTGTTCTCACCAGCCTTCTGAAGAGCGGTGACTTTTTTAAGAACAGTTAGGGAAGGTCATTAGGGGACATTACTCTTACTTTCTCCGGCCATACCATATAGCTGACTTCAGAGATTCATAACCAGGGCCCAAACATCCCCATTTCAGTCGCCAACCTCTCTCCTGATCACCTAGAGTGCTCTTACGTTGGCCTGATTGATCAGTAAAGCAGGCTTCTCCCAGTCAGTACTGTGAATTGTTTTCCTTTGGCAGCTGGAGGTTTTATACTGCAAGGCATGTGCTGTACTGATGTAATGGATGGAGGGGGGACCTGTCTGTCTTTGAAGTTAGAGCAATGGACCGTTTTTCACAGAGTAGAAGAAAGAAGCTTTTGGACTCTAGAAAGGGCCCTGCATGGAAGGACCCTGCATGAAAGCTAAGGATCTAGAAATGGATTCCCTTTAAGTGAAGAGTGGTGGCTTCCATCTTAAAGAGTCTTCACCTCTGCTTGGATCCAGTGACCAAGGTTTGGCGACGACTGGCATCAACTAAAAAAATACACTTCTCAGTACAGTTGACCATTGAATGATACAGTGGTGGAGGCACCTGCCCCCCCCGCCCCCGCAGTGGAAATTCCACGTGTAATTTACAGGCAGCCCTCCCAAGACTGGATTCCTCTGTGTCTACAGTTTCACATCCATGGGTTCAACCAATGACAGTTGTATAGTACTAGAGTATTTACTGTTGAAAAAACCCAAGTATAAGTGGATCCTCATAGTTCAAACCCATATTGTTCAAGGACTGACTGTATACAGCAGACACCACATAACTGAAAGCTACTGACTGTTTAAAAGGAGGAAAAGATGATGCATAGTCACCTTTATTACTGTGTCATTGGTGCTAAAGTTTTAAACAGCAGCCACATTGAGGAACTGGGTTACTGCTCCCGTGCAAGTGTTTTAGTATCTGTTGAACCAAAAGATGCTGGTACATCACCATCTTAATTGGGTCCAGTTCAGTCTGCTGTTTCACAAATTCAGAACTGACTTCAATCTGAAGTGTGTGAAGAAGTCATCCATGAGACACCTAGGGGCCACACTGACCCAGGATAGTCACCAGAAGTGTGGACCCTCCTCTGGGAGAGGGACAGATGGACGGAAACCCCAGAGCTCCAGGCCCACCCTGCAGCACACCAGTGCCCTGGGCTGCCTTCTCCAAGTGAAGACATGCGTTAGCCTCGTAACCTTCTGACTCTGGAGGAAATGCCTCTCCCATCACCCTACAGTGACACAGTTACTGGGGCAGAAAGACAGAGAACAGCCCTGTCTGTATCTGAATACTCGGGGAGATGGAAAGCACTTTTATCAATTTGATACTCTTTAACTCTTATTAGAAATCTTTCTGACTGTAGCTAACTGTTAAAGCTGTTTTCTAAGAAATCACATAACTGAACTTCAGAGCAGTTTGCACTCAGTTTGTCATTCAGGTACAACTCTTTAAGTAAACGTGATACAGTAGGTTGCTAGGAAGAACTTGGGTTTGAAACTATGTTTTTCTCTTTTCCTATTTTCCTTGCTTTATTATTGATTGAGAAGCTAAGGAATCGGCCAGCCTCCACTGGGTCTTGTTCACCAGTGCAATGGAATAGAAGTACAACCCTAAAACTTAAAGAGAATATGGTAACAATGTTGAGACTTTTAGAACACTTTAAACTTATGAAAACAGACTTCTCAATAGACTATAGCTGAATGAGTAAATTGTTTTTAATGTTGCTGTAAATATTTCCTGTAGATTCAAGGACAGTCCTGTATTCTGTCAAGATAGTTTCATATTTAGGAAAACTATGTAACAACTTGGTGGTGAAATGGCTTTTTATATATAGAGTATGCATTTCTTTTAGTAAAAGATGATGAATGCGACTCAGATGCAGAAAATGAACAAAACCATGATCCTAACGTTGAAGAGTTCCTGCAACAACAAGATACTGCAGTCATCTACCCCGAGGCACCCGAGGACGACCAGAGGCAGGGCACGCCGGAGGCCAGCGGGCATGACGAAAACGGTAATTGGAGCTCACGGCCGCTTGGTTCTCACCTCTGAAGGATTATTGCTTCCATTGCACTGTGTGGGAACCCACCTTACTATAGGGAACATTTCTGAAAGTGAGAATTTATTGCAGATGGCAACAGAGGGTAATCTCTTTAGCGAATGGAGTGATGTCCATGGTAACAGTGTGTAGTCTTTTGTCAGTGCATCTCCTGTGTATACTGTGATACCCCCACATGTGAAATGCTTAGGACCATGCCTGGACATTGACTTCCATTAACTTATATGGCAGCAGGCAGTAGAAGTAGGTACTGGGAGAAACCATACTTCTTGATGCTACTCCACTGTTCTGGAATGGAGTGATGTCCATGGTAACAGTGTGTAGTCTTTTGTCAGTGCATCTCCTGTGTATACTGTGATACCCCCACATATGAAATGCTTAGGACCATGCCTGGACATTGACTTCCATTCACTTATATGGCAGCAGGCAGTAGAAGTAGGTACTGGGAGAAACCATACTTCTCCTTGATGCTACTCCACTGTTCTGGAAGAAAACCTTGGTGGTATGGTTCAGAACATACTAATTTAGAGACAAATTTTTTTTCCTGTATCTATGTTGGTCGTCTCTGATATTAACAGCCAGTGTGTAAACAGCAGTAAAATACAGTAGTAATGTGTTCGTATTATCCTGTAAAGAAATCAACTGTCATTCTGCCGTCCAAGCACTAGAAACAGATGAAAATAGCATGTTTCAATACTGCTCTCTCAAGTCATCTCACCTTTGCCCTCCCCTACTGTGACCAAAGGTCTGTTCTTTATGTCTGCGTCTCCTTGCTGCCTGCAAATACGATCATCTGTACTATCTTTCTAGATTCCATAGATATGCATTTATGTATAACATTAATATACAATTGTCTCTCTCTCTCTCAGACTCACTTCATTCTGTTTAATAGGCTCTAGGTTCATCCATCTCATTAGAACTGACTCAAACGTGTTCCTTTTTATAGCTGAGTAATATTCCATTGTGTATATGTACCACATCTTTATCCATTCATCTGTCAGTGGGACATCTAGGTTGCTACCATGTCATAATTATTGTAAATAGTGCTATAATGAACATTGGGGTACACGAGTCTTTCTTTTTCAATTATGATTTCTTATGGCCAGTAGTAGGAATGCTGGGTCATATGGTAGTTTTTACTCTTAGTTTTGTAAGGAATCTCCGTACTCTTCTCCATAGTGGTTGTATCAGTTTGCATTCCCATCAACAGGGTGAGAGGGTTCCCCTTTCTCCATACTCTCTAGACATTTATTGTTGGTAGACTTTATGATGATGGCCATTCTGATAAGAGGAAGATAATATTTCATTGTAGTTTTGATTTGCATTTCTCTGATAGGGAATGATACTGTGCATCTTTTCATGTGTTTATTAGCCATCTGCATGTCGTCTTTGGAGAAATGTCTGTATAGGTTTTCTGCCCGCTTTTTGATGGAGTTGGTTGTTTTTCTAGTATTGAGCTGCATGAGCTGCTTGTATAATTTGGAAATTAGTCCTCTGTCAGTTGTTTCACTTGCTATTATTTTCTTCCATCCTGAGGGCCATCTTTTCCCCTTACTTATAGGTTCCTTCATTGTGCAGAAGCTTTCAGTGAGGTCCCATTGGTTTTTGTTTTTATCTGTGTTACTCCAGGAGGTGGGTCAGAGAGGATCTTGCATATTGCTGTGGTTTATGTCAAAGAGTATTCTGCCTATGTTTTCCTCTGAGTTTTATCATTTCTGGCCTTACATTTAGGTCTTTAATCCATTTTGAGTTTATTTTTGTGTGTTGTGTTAGGAAGTTCTAATTTCTTTTACACATAGCTGCCCAGTTTTCCCAGCACCACTTATTGAAGAGACTGTCTTTTCTAATCTGTATGTATCCCTAGATCTGAAGTGGGTCTTTGTGTGTGTGTGTGTGTGTGTGTATTCAGTCAATAAGTTGTGTCTCTTTGCAACTACATGGACTGCAGCATGCCAGGCTTCCCTGTCCTTCACTACCTCCTGGAGTTTGCTCAAATTATGTCCACTGAGTAGGTGATGCTATCTAACCATCTCATCCTTTGCCACCCACTTCTCTTTTTGCCTTCCTTCTTTCCCAGCATCAGAGTCTTTTCTAATGAATCGGCTCTTTGCATCAGGTAGTCAAAGTATTGGAGCTGCAGCATTAGTCCTTCCAATGAATATTCAGGATTAATTTCCTTTGGAATTGACTGGTTTGATCTTCTTGCCGTTCAGGGCACTCTCAGGAGTATTCTCCAGCACCACAATTAGAAGGCATCAATTCTTTGGCACTCAGCCTTTTTTATGGTCCAGCTCTCACATCCATACATGATTATTGAAAAAACCATAGCTTTGACTATACAAACCTTTGTCAGCAAAGTGATGTCTTTTTAATATGCTCTCTAGGTTTGCCATAACTTTCCTTCCAAGGAGCAAGCGTCTTTTAATGTCATGGCTGCAATCATCATCTACAGTGATTTGGGTCTCTTGTAGACTGTGTATATTTGGGTCTTATCTTTGTATCCATTCAGCCAATCTTTTGGTTGGAGCATTTAATCTATTTACATTTGACGTAATTGATGATATATATATTCTTATTGCTGTTTTGTTACTTTGGGGATTATTTTTGTGGATTTGGGCATTTATTGTTTGTAGATTTTTTGATGATAGCCATTCTGACTGGTGTGAAGTGATACCTAATTGTAGTTTTGATTTGCATTTCTCTAATAATAATGTTGAGCTTCTTTTTGTGTGCCTTTTAGCCATCTGTATGTCTTCTTTGGAAAAAAGTCCATTTAGATTTTTTGCCCATTTTTTTATTGCATTGTTAAAAAGAACAGCTGAGTTGCATGAGCTGTTTGTTGGGTGATTTGTTTTTGTAGATCTTTTTTCTTCCCTTCCTCTCTGGTTCTCTTGTGATTTGATGACTATCTTTAGTGTTGTGTTGAGATTCCTTTTTCCTTTTTGTGCATATGTCTGTTGTAGATTTTTGGTTTGCAGTTCCCGCAAGGTTTTGCTCAAGCAGTCTGTATATATACGAGATAGTTTTAAGTTGCTGGTCTCTTAATTTCAAATGCGTTTCCAATATCCTGCATTGTACTCGTCTCTTCTCACGATTGCTGGTTTTGATGCCATGTTTGTGTGGATGATTTCCTGCCTTTACTGTATGTTTGCCCTAACCAGTGAGCGTTCCCATTCATAATTGCCTTGTTTCTAGTTGTAGGATTTTCTTTTTCCCCTGGAGAAGTTTCTTTATCAATTATTGTAAAACTGGTTTGGTGGTGCCAAATTAGCTTTTGCTTGTCTGTAAAATTTTTGACTTCTCTGTCAAAATCAGAGCTTTGCTGAGTATTCTTGGTTACAGGTTTTTCCGTTTCACCCCTTTAAATATACGTTGCCACTCCCTTCTGGCCTTTAGGGTTTCTGCTAAACAATAAGCTAATAACCTTATGGGGGCTCCCGTATGTTATTTGTTGCTTTTCCCTTGTTGCTTTTAATATTTTCTCTTTAATTTTTAAAATTTATTTATTTTAATTGGAGGCTGATTACATTACAGTGTTGTCGTGGTTTTTGCCATACATTCACATGAATCAGCCATGGGTGTACATGTGTTCCCCATCCCAAACCCGTCTCCCACGTCCCTCCCCCTCCCATCCCTCAGGGTCATCCCAGTGCACCAGCCCTTAGCGCACTGTCTCATGCATCGAACCTGGACTGGCGATCTATTTCATGTACATATAACATATAAACACGTTATAAACATGCTTATATAAACATGTTTATATGTATATATAAACATATAAACATGTATATGGAAATATACATGTTTCAATGCTATTCTCTCTTTAATTTTTTATCAAGTTGATTAATATGTCTTGGCATGTTCCTCCTTGGGTTTATCCTGGGTTTATCTGTGCTTCCTGGATTTAGGAGACTGTTTCCTTTCCCATGTTAGGGAAGTTTCCAGCTATTATCTCTTCAAATATTTTCTCAGGCCCTTTCTCTCTCTCTTCTTCTAGGACTGCTATAATGTGAATGTGGGTACATTTAATGTTGTCCCAACAGGTAGGTCTGGCCCAGGCTCCTCTGAAATCACTGCTTTTCCCCTTGTGTCCCAGTACGTCCAATACCTTGTGTGTGCCCCTTAAGCATGTTACTTATCTTTTCCTCAATTTTTTGGAGTTTCTATGATCAAGCCCCATTGGCCTTAAAAGTCAAATGCTCTGGGGTCTCATCCCCCTGATGCCAGATCTCCAGACTCAGGAGCCTGATATAGGGCTCAGAACTCTCATTCCTGTGGGAGAACCTCTGCAATATGATTACTGTCTAGTATATGCGTCACCCACCCAGCAGGAATGGGGTTTAGTTGTATTGCAAATACACCCCTTATACCATCTCCTTATGGCCTCTTCTGTGTCTTTGGAAGTAGAATATCTTTTCTGGTAGGTTCCAGCCTTTTTTTGCTCTTGGCTGTTCAGCAGTTAGTTGTGATTTGGGTGTCTTCTTGAGAGGCGGTAAGTACAGGTCCTTACTCCTCCATCTTGTCCTCTGGGCTTACTTTGGGCACTTATTCTTTAGGCTAATTACTTTACCGTATCGTAGTGGTTTTTGTCATACATTGAAATGAATCAGCCATGGATTTACAAGTATTCCCCATCCCGATCCCCCCTCCCACCTCCCTCTCCACCCAATCCCTCTGGGTCTTCCCAGTGCACCAGGCCCGAGCACTTGTCTCATGCACTAATTCTCGAACTCAACACTGCAATGGCGATTCCCTTATTCTCTGTCATGAAGATGGATGAGGAATGGGGGTATGATTTGACCTATTATTAATTGAATTATTTGATTTCTTACTGTTGAGTTTTAAGGATTCTTTGTTTATTTTGGATAGTAGTCCTTCTTCAGCTGTGTCATTTGTAAATAGTTTTTCCCGTCTGTAGCTTATCATCTAATTCTCTTATTGTCTTATCTCATGGGGCAGAACATTCTCAATTAAGTCCAGCTTACCAATTGTGTCTTTCATGACTCATGCCTTTGGTATCTAAACAGGCATTACAGTACCCAAGTTGGTATAAGTTTTCTTCTGTTATAACCTGTCTTAGTCATTTTGTATTTTATAATTAGGCCTGTGATCCTTTTTGAGTTAATTTTTGTGAAGGATGTAAGGTCTGTGTTTACATTCATAATTTTGTGTGTGGATGTCCAGTTGATCCATTAGAGTTTGTTGAAAAGACTGTCTTTGCTCCACTGTATTGCATTTGCTCTCTGGGCTCACCTGTATTCCATCCCACTGATCCATTTGTCTGTTTTCTTGCAGACACCACACTATCTTAATTATTATAGCTCTGTAGTAAGCCTTGAAGACAGGTAGTGTCAGTCTCCCGTTATTCATGCCTTCAGTGTTATGTTGCCTCTTCTGGATCTCTTGCCTCTCCATGTGAGTTTAGAATTTTTGTCAATATCCATAAAATAACTTGATTGGGACTGCACTGAATATGTAGATCTAGTTGGGAAGAACTGACACCCTGATATTATTGAGTCTCCTTACCCTTGAACATGGAATATCTCTATATTTATTGAGTGCTTTGGTTTCATTCATCAGAGTTTTATAGTTTTTCTCAAATAAATCTTAGATTTATGCCTAATTATTTCAGCATTTTGGTGCTAATGTAAATGGTACTGTATCAATCAACTTTCATATTTTTGAAGGAAATCTACAAGGGTGATACAGAAAACAAATCAGATTCCATTACAGAAAGTCAACTGTCCCTTCCTTAAATTAGGATATCAACTGAAAAAGATCAGAAAGGAAAGTTTCACTCCAGAATAGGTAGGATTTCTGTAAGTAATTTGGTGACAAAGGAAAGAGAAGTAGGGTACTCTAGGAATTCTTTACTCCAGTGTGGCAAAAGGACACATTTCTGAAAATAATAGATTGTTAGCCTGGGGACACTGCAGTTCAGTTTAATAATATGTGTTCTGTTGATCTGTTTGCAGATTTGTAGAGTCCGTAGTTTTATATAATTATAAATTATATAATTCTGTATTATAATTCAGTAGGGCCTACTTTTGTTTCCTGGATATTTTTTTTCTCTTAAAATGTGTTAACAGTTCACCTGAAGAAGCAGTAGGTTACAATAAATATGAAAGGGAAATATAAAACCTTAAAATACAGATGTTTATAAATATGTAAAATTTTTATGTAACAAACAGGATTTCAAAAAGCCTCAGTGAAATAATGAAAACTAAACTTTGTAAAGTCCATTGTTACAAATCAGTGCAGTTAAGTCCCATTAGAGTTGGAGCCTTAGTCATTCTGAATCAGTATAACATTTGAAGTATATAATGTTTTTCATTCAGGTATTCATTACCTTCAGGTATGTAATGTAGTTTAACTACTAATACAGTATTTCACAGTAGATATTCTGTCACACCAGCAACATCTCTTTCCATGAAAAAGTTATTATCTTCAAAAGCACTTAGGTTTTTAATGTTTTAGTAAATTAAACATACCATCCTGTACTTCATAAGTTGTAAACAGGGGAGCTTTATTCCAGCAGGTTGATTTATCAAAATTCTGGTTTGGTGGGAACAAATCAAGGAGGTTTTTTTCACAGGTTTTATATCAGTCTGCCACTAAAGGAAGTTTAAGACACAGAAATTTAAAATGTTTTTTAAGTAAGTTTATTTATGGTCACAGATTCATAAAGAAATTATAGTTTGAAAAGTAGTCAAACATAGGGTGGATTTTTTAGTACTGAATTCCTGCCATAGGTGTATTATAGGAATTCTAAAAAGAAACATTCCTTACAAGTCTTCATTGCTAAAAGGTGAGTTTAAAAATAAACAATTCAAAATTTTTTAAAAACAGAAATTTAAACTTTTAAACTTGTTCATTCTGTAAACTTATGATGTTAAATATTTAGATTTATTGTTCATTGTTTTATACTGTTGGCCTAAAATAGTAAGTTCATATCATGTGTGTGAGAACATTCAACAGATATTTATGAAAAGAACTTGCTGTTTAAATATGAGCAACTTGCCATTTTAGAAAATTATTAGTATTTTGTACATTAATTACAAGAATTAATCATGAAGACAAACAAGAAAATAGAATGCAATGCTAGCAGACAGCTTATGACACAGGAGTTCAGGGCAGCTTGACTAGTGGAAGCAAACTGATTGTGGTGCTGATGATAAAACACCTGTCACATGGACTCTGACTTTAGCCCCTGAAACCAGCTGAGAGCAGTAGGATCGACAGGCAAGGAGAGTGTCCTAAATACTGACTTCCCACTTGCCTGTACAAATAGGAAATTGATGTTAGACAAAACATAGCATGATTCCCCACCCCCGTCACAAATATCCTCACGTGGCTAGTCTAGTCCCCAAAGAAGTGGGTCATGTCAGAGTCATCACCAGTGGGAAAGTCTCTGGTTCTAGGTGCCTTGTTAGCTGATAACAGAAGATACTATCATAAACTTGGGGGTCTTGGTTGTTTGACTTTCTTTGTTCATATATTTGATATGTATTTCCATGTACTAAGCTATGTAGAGTCAGGTGTTCAGTCTGTTCTCTGCAGGCTTGTCCTTGAACAAGATATTTAATTTATATGGACTTGAATTTCAATAACAGTGACATGTTTATGAAGTAAAGAAGATTGTTATGACATTTTCTCTGGTAGTCTGTTTTTCTATAAGAAATTAAAAATAAAGTTAAGATAACATTTATAGCAAGATGTGACTTAGGAACTTTTTTCTTTGAAGAAGTAAATCCAATATAGAAATGTAGTTAAATAATGTTAATTGGCCAAGTGGTATTATATTTTAAGATTGGCAGGCTTAGATGTTTCCATGTATTAAAAATATGTAGTTCATTCTCTGAACTACAGTTTATCTATAATGGCTTATTTTCTGAAAGCTATCCTAATAGTCATCCATCTGAAACTAAACAAGAAGTGTGCCAGTGTGTTTCAGGAGGGGAAAGAACATGAAGAACTCATGCAGGGGGCATCTCAGTGGCCAGCCCTGAGTCCAGCCCCACCACTCCTCATACCTCCCTACAGTATGTGCTCCACAGTCCCCTGCAGGGGAGCCTTAGAAGCGTGGTCTAACTGTATGTTACTTACTCTCTGATGACTGTAGTGACATTTTTCAGATTTGAAAGAATGAACATTCAATAACTAATGATGACATTGTTACCCTTGTAGAAAATGGTTATAGTGTACCAAACTCCTTTCATGTGTATATATTCACAACAATAACCTGCATTATAATTTTGCTTTTGTTTTGTCTAATTAACCATACAAAAGAAGGGAAGAATTATGTTTTAGTGAAAAAGATATGAGACTTTAAAGTCAGCTTGCATTTGACTCTCAACTTCACTGTTCACAGGCTGTGTAACTTGGAAGTCATTTAACCTTTTCTGGGCATCACATCCTCTCTTTATAAAACAGAGACACATCAGTGTGTTGGTTTTGAGGATCAAATACTAAACACAATATCTGGCACATAGCAGAGGGCCTTGGTGAGAGCTTTGGTACTATTTTGGGAACATCTTTAAAATGTATGATCCTTCTTTTGCAGGAACACCAGATGCATTTTCCCAGTTGCTCACCTGTCCGTATTGTGACAGAGGATATAAACGCTTTACCTCTCTGAAAGAACACATTAAGTATCGCCACGAGAAGAATGAAGACAACTTCAGCTGCTCCCTGTGCAGCTACACGTTTGCATACAGAACCCAGCTCGAGCGCCACATGACCTCCCACAAATCAGGACGAGAGCAGGTAAGCGGCACCACTCAGATCCACCCACTGTCCATGCTGAGAACTCCTCACTCTGTGGAAGGCAAGGGCTCTCTCACACTGAGAGCATAAGGGGCTGCACTAGACAGTGTCTGGTCTGCAGCCTTGTAAAAAGGACAGTGATTATTCCTTTGGATGATCGGGTCATTTCTGAGTTTAAACTAAGCACATGTAAATACTATGAACACTATTTTAGAAGTGACTACATTTTTTCTTTTTCAGACAAGGTCCCTTTCAACTCAGTTATTTTGCTTATATCATAACAAATATGTCATGTTGATAGCTGGATTTCAAAATGCATTCTACTAAAATGTTCAATGTAGGAAAAATAAATACCATTTCATAAACCACATGACTTACTACTGACCAGTAGAGGAGAAAATCGAACAATAATCAAGTTTAATTTTTCGTGAAACGCTGACTATTATCAGTATAAGCTACTGTGGCTTTTTCCTATGTAAGGGAAGTGGCCTCTTAAGAATGTAAAGTTTAGACTGAATCATTTTTAATCTGAGGATTCAATTTTCATATTGTTTATTCTGTTTCTATGTCGCTTTGCCTCAGCTTCTAGAAGTATTAACCAAGACTATCCTTAAGTTAGGTTGCTGGCTCTGAACTTAAGGATTAAAGTCAGAAACGTTTTTGCCAGTTCTGCTTTTGTAAGGTCAACTGTAAATAATCAAATTAATATCTGGTTAATCTAGATTTAAAAATCAAATAAGTATTCAGCAGCACACGGCATGTTGAAGGTGTGTGCTGTGCTTGGGACACGTGTTCAGTCTCTTCTATCAAAAGACTCGGAACACCTGACCACCTGACTGCAAGAGTCTGCTCCGTGTATACCCACGTCACTGACCCCAGAGAGCATGAGTTACCCTCTCGGCTCTGACGGCTCAGCCAAAAACCAGGCCAAAATCTGTAAGAGAAATAGTGATGAGAATGGGCCAGCCTGCCTTCTCAGGACCCTGGTGACAGTACTCATGAAATCAGGGCGTGTGGGGAGTACAGGCAGGCATGCGCACAGCACCAGCTCTTCCTCACCTAGGTCAGCGCTTCAGTCCACAGAGGAGCACTTGGGGTGGGAGCGAGTGCCGCGAGGAGGAAACCGACCCACAGACGACAAACCCCACCTTCTCATCTGCCCCAAACGAGTCTCATCAGGGACAGAACAGAAGCATGCTCTTGGTACCCCGCTGTCCCGACCTGACCCCAGTGTGGGTGGGCCCTGGGGACATGGCCACAGTGTGGACGAGCCCTGGGGACATGACCACAGTGTAGACGAGCCCTGGGGACGTGACCACAGTGTAGACAGGCCCTGGGGGCGTGGCCACAGTGTGGACAGGCCCTGGGGGCGTGACCACAGTGTGGACAGGCCCTGGGGGCGTGGCCACAGTACAGACAGGCCCTGGGGGCGTGGCCACAGTACAGACAGGCCCTGGGGATGTGACCACAGTGTGGACAGGCCCTGGGGGCGTGGCCACAGTACAGACAGGCCCTGGGGATGTGACCACAGTGTGGACAGGCCCTGGGGGCGTGACCACAGTGTGGACAGGCCCTGGGGGCGTGGCCACAGTACAGACAGGCCCTGGGGACGTGACCACGGTATAGATGAACCCTGGGAAAGGGGCTATTGAGGTGACATTTGGGGAGCAGAGCTATCCTGCAACTGCTGCCCCCACATCGTCTTCATCCCAAGGGCCTTTGTCAAAGAAAGGAGCTTCAAAGGACAGAGGGAACTGGAGGGAAAGCAGGAGATGCTGTGAGAAAAACAAGTCGTAAGACTTCTTATGAGATGAAGGCCACTGTGTGTGTGAGGCTTTCTCTGAGGGATGTAAAGGTAGTCGGTTGGTTTCATATGTGAAATATGTGGTCAGACCAAGGTCAGAAATGAGCCGTGAGGAATGTGGAGGCCAGCAACATGAGGGGTATAGTTGGGAACCGTTTAGGTTAGGAGGCAGAACGTCTGCCTTGCTGGCCTCTGGAGATCAAGGTAAGCATTTCCATGTTGTCTTATTCATGCAACAGATGTTTGAGTTTTGATTCTGTGTAAGGCCTGCTGTAGGGGTTCAAGACATAGTAGTGAAAATGAGCAAGTCCCTGACCATAGCGGGCATGTATTATAGGTGAGAGGAAACAGATGTAAAATATAAACACAGGTAGAATGAAGAAAACAAAGCAAAGTAAGAGGATAGAAAGTGGTGGAAGCTGCCATTTTTTTTTTATAAATAGAGTAGAGAGACCTTTGAGACTAGGACATCTGAACCTAGACTTGGGTGAAGAGAGGGAGCAGTCACAGAATGACTGGGAGAAGGGCGTTCTGTGCAGAGGCAGCAGAGAGCGTGACAGCCTCGAGGCAGAAGCCAAGGAACAGCAGGCAACCAGGGTGCACGGAGGGAGAAAGAGGCTCGGTAGGGAGGAGGCAGATGATGAGGCCTCTTGTATGAGCCATGGCTAAGGCCTGTGCTTTTACTCTAAAGCATGATAGGGAAGCATTTGAAAGATACTGCATTTTGTGTTTATGTCTTATTTTTAAGGCCAGATGCGCTGCGGGGTGGAGAGTAGATCGAGAGAGACAAGAAGGAAGCAGGAAGCACACTTAAGGGCTGTGGCTGTAACCCAGGCCAGAGGCACTGGTGTGACAGATGTGACATCATGAGGATGGTGGCTGCAGGCTGGCCTGCTGAGGGATTGGATAAGGGTCTCAGGGAAAGAGAGGGACCAGGATTCCTCCAAATTCAGGGCCTAAGCAATGATCAGATAAATGAGGGGTTTACTCACAAAGGTAAGAAACAGGAGTAAGTGTTAGTCACTCAATTGTGTCCAACTCTTTGTGACCCCATGGACTAGCCCACCAGGCTCCTCTGTCCATGGAATTCTCCAGGCAAGAATACTGGAGTGAGTAGCCATTTCCTTCTCCAGGGGATCTTCCCCACCCAGGAATCAAATCCTGGTCTCCTGCACTGCAGGTGTATTAAGCCCCAAAAAAAACAGGAGGAGGAGGAGCTGATTTCCAGGAGAGAAATGAAGAGGTCAGTGTAGTCCTCTTAGCAGATGCCTGTCACTGTTCAGTGGGGACATGGAGGAAGCTGTGAGAGTCTGGAATGGAGAGAGGAGAGATCTAGAGAGAGATGTTTTGAGTTGGAGCCATGTATTCAGTTTCAAAGCCAGGGGTTTGGGTGAAGTAGAGCCTGAGACATACTTCACACTCATTCTCTGACCTTCCTGTGTGAAGGACAGAAGGAAGAGCATAGAGTAACAGAGCCAGAGCCTTTGAACGACGGGCAGAGTCTTGGCGGTCGTCATGAAGGGGAAGTGTAGCGGGAAGTAAGGGGTGCTATCAGTGGGAGCAGGGCTGCAGAGCGGCGTGTGTGCAGGGGCTCGCTGGGTGATGAGATGCGGACTCCTGCTGAGGAGGCCTGGAGACTCAGGGCTGGAGACCCGGTACCTGCAGCCTCGGAATCTGCCCAGGGGCAAACAGGAGTCCTCTGGACGTTTAAGAGCGGATGTATTGCATAATTCAGTTCAAACACTGCTTTTGTAAGATGAATGAAGGGTGCAGAATTTATTCAAAGTATGTAAAAGTGGGGGTTGATCAACCAGACAGAAAGCTATTACAGTAATCCATATTTGACTGAAAAGAGGGAAGTATTTTTTAAATCATCAGATTAAGATTTTGGAAATACCAAACTTACTAGAGAGGATAAAGTCCTGAAAAAGCCCAGCCTTTTCTTCTCTTCAGGAGACCTTGTACTTCTGTTTAGTTAAGTATGCTTGAGACAGATTCCTGGACATTCTGGACCATGGTTTCTTTATCTGTCAATTAGAGTGCAGGTGAGGGAAATCATCTCTAGTTCCTGGTCCAGTATATATTTTTGCTAAATGCTATATTGCGTCATAGAGTGATTCTGATTATTTAAACTGGGAAGTAGAGATTTTCCTTTATGTCAAAATTCTGTTGCCACTGTCCTCTTCCTTTTTGGTAACATTCCAAGTGTTAGGTTTTTGTGACTGCTAAGATTTGAGGCCTTTAAGAAACAAAAGAACCACCCAAACATTACTTTTAGCAGACTGGATGTTCTTTATGTCTAAAGCTTTTTTGCTTTATAAATAAAATACCAATTCTTTCTTACAGAGACATGTGACGCAGTCTGGGGGTAATCGTAAATTCAAGTGCACTGAATGTGGAAAAGCTTTCAAATACAAACACCATCTAAAAGAGCACTTAAGAATCCACAGTGGTAAATATTTGTTTTCTTTGTCTACCTTGAATATCATAGAGATTATGATAATAAATTAATATCACATGTGAATTACACATAGGGTTAGAAACTCTATGCAATTGTTTTAGGATAAACACTAATATGGAGACATTTTCTGCTTCTTTGGCTAAACTATATCAAGCTAAGAGGACACATTTTGAATTTCCTAATAAGAATATAGCATTTTACAAGATGTACAACCTGAGACACTTGAGCTTTTTGATGAATGTTCATTTCATTGCCTCTGTTGCACAGTTAACAAGGGAATGATAAAGCTTGTACGATACATGCTTGATAAAGCGTGTGCACAAGGAAAGGAGGAGATGAAGATGTTCTTTACATAAGAGAAGGAGAGATGGAACTCAAGATAGGAGATGGCATGGTGCACCGAGGGGATTGTGGGAGAGGGCAGCACGAGGGTGGGAACTGTGGCATGAGAGGGGACTTCACGGAAAACGGGCTTCCCCCACCTCAGCCTCAGTTCTGCACTACTCGTCATCTACAGCTTCACGTGAAAAGTGAACATTAATACATGGTAAAAACATTATGTCGATTTTAGAGACTTACAATCAAAGAGAGTTCTATTTGCCTTTTTTTGGAGGCTTTACTTACCCAAAAGCAACCAAGAAAATTCACATTTTGTTATGAACTCTGTCTCCTGGTTAATTTTGATGGGTTATTTAATATTAAATAATTTCAGTGAAAGACAACTGTTAACTAATGAGTGGGAAATTACAGATTTCTGCGTATGCTTGTTTTGTGAAAATTATTATATTGACAATTATTAATAGATTTTACAAATATCCTGCAAAAAAAGTACAGTTGGGTGGCATTGTGATATGTGTATTTTATTTTGGAACTGCATTAATAGAAGTCGTGCTGAATTGCTCATTGAGGGCTAAAGAATGTTACCTCTTAAAACATGCCCAAACTGAGGTTCATACAAATACATTTTTAAAAATTTTTAATATGTTAATATGTCTGGAAGACAAAGCTATCTTTTGGCGTCTGCATCAGGATCCTATTTCTTAGCTCTTGTGCTATTGAACAGTTTTCATCAGTTTCATATATATATATATTAATTAACATTATATTAACATATATCCAATGGATATTTTTTCTCTACTACTGTCCTTTTTTTCCCCAGCTTTATTGAGATATAACTGACACACAGCACTGTATAAGCAGCATGATTTGACTTATCTTGGCTATTGTAGATAATGCTGCAGTGAATACAGGGCTGTATATATAATCTTTTCAAAGCAGTGTTTTCATTTTCTTTGGGTGAATACTCAGAACTGGAATTACTGGATTAAAAGGTAGTTTTCTTTTTAATTTGTTGAGAAATCTGTATATCATTTTCTGTTGTGACTACACCAATTTACATCCTCACCCACAGTGACCTAGGGTTCCCTTCTCTCCACATTCTTGCCAATACTTTTTTTTTTGTAATAGTCATTCTGACAGGTGTATGGGGATATCGTATTAATGATGTTGAGCATCTTTTCATGTGATTCTTGGCTTCTCTAAGTATTTTTTGGATAAATATATCTGTTCAGATTTTCAGCCCATTCTTAATTGGGTTGTGTCTTCTTTTGATTTTGAGTTGTAAGAGTTCATTGGACATTTTGCATATTAACCCCTTATCATTTATATCATTTGTAAATATCTTCTATTCAGTAAGTGGCCTTTTCAGTTTGTTCATAGTTTTTTTTGTCTATACAGAAGTCTTTCAGTTTGATGTAGCCCCATTTGTTTATTTTTGCTTTTGTTCCCCTTTCCTGAGGAGACACTTCAAAAAAAATATTACTGAAATCTATGTCAAAGAGCTTACTGCCTGTGTTTTTTCTGGAAGTTTTACGGTTTCAGATCTTTAATCTGAAATATACTTCTGTGCGTAGTATGAGAGAGTGTAGTTGTCCAGTTTTCCCAACACAATTTATTTGAAGGGGCTTTTTTCCCACTGTATATTCTTGCCATAGATTAACCACCCTCATGAGTTCATTTCTGTGGTTTCTGTTATGTTCCATAGATCTATGAATCTGCTTTTGTGCCAACGCCATGCTAAATGACTGTAGCTTTGCAGCATAGTTTGAAATTGAGGCATGTGATACCTCCACTTTTGTTCTTTTTCAAGATTGTTTCAGCTATTTGGCATTTTTTATGCTTCCATGCAAATTTCAAGAGTTATTTACTCTAGTTCTGTGAAAAATGCATTGGCATTTTGATAGGAATTACATTGAATATGTAGAATGAATCAATGTAGAATCATTGAACCTGTTTTTGTAATTGTTCTTTCTTGTTATTAATGTCTAGAAATTCAACAGATTTCTACATTAATTTCGTATCTGGCAACTTTACCAAATTCATTGGTGAGCTCTAGTAGTTTTTTAGTGGCATCTTTAAAATTGTCTATGTATATAGTATCATCATCTATAAACAGCGACAGTTTTACTTCCTCTTTTCAATTTGGATCCTTTTATTTCTTTTTCTCATCTGACTACTGTGGCTAGGACTTCCAATACCTTGTTGAATAAAAGTGACGAAAGTAGATATCTTTGTCTTGTTCCTGATCTTAGAGGAAATGCTTTCAGCTTTTCACCATTGAGTATGATGTTAGCTATGGGCTTATCACACATGGTCATTATTACATTAAGGTATGTTCCTTCTGTACACATTTCATTGAGAGTTTTTTTTTATCATAAATGGATATTGAATTTTGTCAAAAGCTTTTTCTGAATCTATTTAGATGATCATATGGTTTTTACTTTGAATTTGTTAATGTGGTATATCACATTGATTTGTAGATATTTAAGCATTCTTCATCCCTTGATAAATCCCACCTGATCATGGTATACCTGGGTGTTTCAATGTATTACTGAATTTGGTTGGCTAATATTTTGTTAAGGAGTCTTGCATCTGTATTCATCAGTGATACTGGCCTGCATTTATTTTGTGTGTGCTTTGTCTGTTTTGATATCAGGATGATACTGACTTCATAGAATGAGTTCACAAGTATTCCTTCCTATCCAATTTTTAAAAATAGTTTGAGAAGGATAGGTGTTACATCAATAATGATTCATGTCAATGTATGGCAAAAGCCACTACAATATTGTAAAGTAATTAGCCTCCAACTAATAAAAATAAATGGAAAAAAAAAAGAAAAAAACAAAAATACAAACGCTTTTGATGTAAAGGTTACACATTTCCTAATTATCCTTAGAAAATCATAGCATTTTCTAAGTCTACTGGTACTGTGTGACACTTCCCATTTTCCATTTTTTTCTCTAAGTGTATAATTTAAAATGTCCAAATTATAAATTCATGATTATGAATTTTGAATTTTATGTTAAAATATATTTGTTCAGCTAGTAAATATTGGTTCAGATGTTCAAAATAAATAAATAAATAAATTTATTTTTAATAACCCCACTTCTTACCAGAAGGGCTTCCCTGGTTCAGATGGTAAAGCATCTGCCTGCAATGTGGGAGACCCAGGTTTGATCCTTGGGTCAGGAAGATCCCCTGGAGAAGGAAATGGCAACCCACTCCAGTATTCTCGTCTGGAAAACTCCATGGATGGAGAAGCCTGGTAGGCTGCAGTCCATGGGGTCGCAAAGAGTCAGACACAACTAAGCGACTTCACTTTCTCACCAGAAATGATTTGAAGTTGTTGATAGGGATTATAGCTAATTCATTTTTTAATGTTGAAGTTGGGGTAATAAAACAGTAAGATTTTGTATATAAAAATGAATATCCTATTGCAGTCATATAGGAGGGTTGCAGATCTATAGATTATATGCAGTTGGGAAACACAGATGGTACAAAACATTAAAATATAAGTCCAGAAACAAGAAGTTGATATCCAATCACAAAATCCTGCACTGATCATCAAAAATCAGCTTCAATCAAGTCATAATGCCTGTACCGTCTACAGAAACCCTTCAGGTGTTTTCACAGTCATGCGCTTTATGTAAGCTCACAGTATGCTGCTGCTCTAGAAGAGGAGGCAGATTCGGGCCACACCAGGGCACACGGGCTCCTGTGCTCTGCTCTCCGTTCATACTTATGTCTCTCAAGATTATTTAATATTAGGCTTGTATATCTTTAATACAGCAGAAAAAGTAAACATATAAAGGAAGACAGGCATGAAGTAAAAATGAGAAAGAAAAAAAAAAGAGTACTATGAATTCCTTCACACGTTGCTAGAAGAGACCACAAATTAGACCCTAGGTTTTAGGAAGTAAGAAAACTACAGATAGTAACAGAAATCTAGAGTGTTAGTAGGTAAAAAGGATCAGATGTCAGAAGATGAGAGAAAAAGCACAACTCTTCTGACACTGGAGTCCATAGAGTTGTTCCTTGGCGCATCATTAAGAAGAAAGAACCAAAAGATAATTTACATCATCCTCAGAGGATTCAGTAGTGTTTTCATTCTAAAGTAAGATTCTTCCATAGAGGCCAGTGATATTTCACAAAAATGCAGTTCAGAAAGAGCACTGCCCCAGGGTGCCCAGTGGATACCATCCAAGTCTACAGCTCCCTGGTGGTTTATTCCAAGGGGAGATTTCGAGCAGGGCTACTCCAAGTCATCCCAGGTAAACAGAAACCGAGGGCAAGCATTTAGAAAGTATCGTATCAAGACAATGCTGTGAAAATTTCATTATATTCTATACAGTGTTAGTCCACAGGAGATTGGAAAATGTTTTTAAATGAAAAAAACAATGATCATTCACCACAGGTAGTTTTGAAAGTACTGTTTATAGTACCTAATAATGAACCTCATATCCTTCAGGAAGCTCTGGGGGTTTTTTTGCAGCCGAGTTTTTAACAGGCATTGAAGATCAGGGCCCTCAAGTAATGTGCCCTAGAATTGCATGGATCTCTTCTGATGTCCATGAAATGAACTCTATGCAGAGTCCTGTGTGTCACTGTCATATAAACTTTGCACATGGGAACTGTGCAAAGGAGCTGTGAGGAGGCCACTGCACCTGCCCACAGAGAGGGGTGCAAAAGAGCCCCTGCACCCAGGCGGGGAGCCTCCCCAGCAAGTAACCCGAGTTTGTTCCATGGCCTGACAGTCATTTCAGCCTAGAAAACTTTTATATCAGGTGCAACTGAACACCACCTTAGTCATTAGAAAAAAGTCAGTGTGCATAATGTATCAAACTCAGAGCAGCACAACTTCCTGCTACAGTAGTAGTTACAAACACTAACCTAGGTCAGTAACTGAGGTGATGTGCTTTAGCTATGAAGTTAGAATTAGAAATACGGCTTTTTCTAACAAACATAATGACTTTGGCTTTAGAATCATTGTTCTGCAGTCTTTTTTTGTAGCAGCAGTAAAATAACAGGGTGATTCCCATAATAGTAATGGTAACTAGCACCTGCTGGACACTCAGCTGCATTAAGTCATGCAGCTCTCACAGTAACCCTGAGAGGTAGATGCTACTGTTTCCTCCTTTTTTTACTGATGAGAAAATGGGGTTTCAGAGAACTTAGCTTGTCCCCAGTCACTCAGTGGGACACAGCAAAGCTGGGCTCTGGGACACAGGCCTCCTGACTCCACAGCCACTGCCATCCCCACTGTGCTCTGTAAAGACAGAAATAATCAATACTGCAGATGCTTATTTTCCTTGTCAGCAAGGGAACAAGCATGTAGTTCATCTAAAAAGGTCATCAAATAATTAAGAATGTTAAAATAAGAGAGATGCTAAGACATATCCCTTGTTTTATGCCCACTGGAAATTTTTATCAGATGCATTTTGAGTATTGAGTCACATTTCAGGCATCCCATTGGAAAGATATTGATAAAACTGGAGAATCTCAGAGGTGAGTTAACAAGCGGGTAAGAGTTCTGAAGAACACATCCCATGAGTAATGTGTGAAAGACCTGGACACATTTAACCTGCATGAGGGAAATTGAGGGATACTTGTGACAGCTCTTCATCACATCAAAAGTCTGGCTTGTCGAGGAAATGTTAGACCAGCTCCATGCAGAATCAGAAACAAACATAACAGGGAAGGCCAGCTTTGGCTTAGTACTGACCTTCTGTCTCATTGCTTTTCTAAAGAGTCACTAAGATTTCTTGAGAGCACACTGAGTTTTGCTATATCATCTGTTATAACTGCCAGAAGAATCCAGTGAGGATGTATCTACATTTATTTATGCACCAAAACACTGAAGCTTGGACAGGTTAAGAAAATAGACATAGTATGTGACAGAGCGAGAATCTGAACTCAGATCCTGGTCCTCAGCAAAGCCAGACGAGACTGCCTTCCTCAGATCTGTCCAGTGGCATTGACCTCCTTTTAATAAAAGAGGTTAAGCAGAGATGAGCCGGTGCCAAGGATGATATGAAATGAACCCTTAGTTGAGAAGGAGGCTGTACTATAGGGCTTTATTAGATTCCTTCCAACTCTAATTTGATTATGCAGACACATTTGAGAAAATATAATGCACTTGTTTTAATCTTTACAACATTGAAATTCCAAGACTAGCAGGTCCTACGCTTTCTTGCTGCTTTCCTTTTAATCATTAAAAAAAGGGGGGGAGAGAAAGAGCTTTATTTTGCCACTGAGTAGATAAGCAGCATCACCACAGCTCATCGTCGTACAGTTAGCCACTCATTCATCTGGCAGAGGCTTACAGAGCAGCTCTGTGACCTGCACGCAGCAGGGGTGGGGAGTAAACGGCACAGAAACCTGGACCTCCCTGAAGCCAGGCATCGGCAACCTTCAGACTATACATTCATGAACTAGAACATGTTCAAACTAAAGTTAAAAAAATACTGGGTTGTAAGAAAATATTCCATTCAACTCAAAAATTTCTGTCAGAGTACCCCTAGTGACCCAGAATACCTTGTACCCTGGAAGGTCTTGGGGAGTGACATAAGGGAGGCCTCTGCAAGCAGGAAGCTTTTTTCCTGACATTTCACAAAGATGTTGTATTTGTGCAGCAAAAGTATACTCTGTGTTTTAATACTTAAATGTTCTAAGTTACTGTAACCACTGTCACTGAAATTGAAACTCCAAGATGGTTTTCATACCAAGAGGCTGAGTGGTAAAAAGACACAGGTTTGCTCCCCACGTTGGGAAGACCCCCTGGAGGAGGAAATGGCAACCCGCTCCAGGCTCCAGTATTCGTGCCTGGAGAATCCCATGGACGGAGGAATCTGGCAGGCTGCAGTCCATGAGGTTGCAAAGAGCTGGACACGACTGTGCAACTGAGCACGCAGTGAACATGGCCTTATTTATCTAGAAGTACACACACCCCTCGTAGCTCAGCTAGTAAAGAATCCGCCTGCAATGCAGGAGACCCTGGTTCGATTCCTGGGTGGGGAAGTTCCCCTGGAGAAGGGAATGGCTACCCACTCCAGTATTCTGGCCTGGAGAATCCCATGGACAGAGGAGCCCAGTCGGCTACAGTCCATGGGGTCACAAATTGTCAGACACGACTGAGCGACTAAGCACACACATACATCCCAGCCTAATAAGCCGAGGCTTGTAACAACACTTGTATTTAAACTTTTCTTCCCCACTGAAAAATGTCTTTTCAAGGAAACCTATGAATATAGGAAGGATAGATATTCATATGACTCATACAGTCAAGGATAGATGTCCACACTTATTAAGTCTTATGGGAGATTTTGCTTCCTTTTGTCTAATATTAATTTCTCCTATAGATGGTTAAGTAGAATAAAATATAGAGAATTACATAGTTTAGTGACACAGGATAAGAAAAAAATTACTTGAAAGAGTGGGATGTAATTTTTTGGTATCTGAGAAAGACTTGAACTTTTAAAAGTGAGCAGAACTATTATACGCACCTGAAGAGAAGGTTCTCTTACTGGTCAGCATGTAGTTCAGACTAACATTTTACTGGTGCTTGACATTTATGTAGGTTTTCAACTTAAAAGTGACAATTCTAAATAAAATTGTATCACAAGCATACATGGTAACCCCCTTTTTAAATTGATACTGCTTGTTTTAGGGAAAATGTGAATATGTGAAAATTTACGAATGTAATTCTTTGTTGTTGTTTAGGAGAGAAGCCATATGAATGCCCAAACTGCAAGAAACGTTTTTCCCATTCTGGTTCCTACAGCTCACACATAAGCAGTAAGAAATGTATCAGCCTGATGCCTGTGAACGGGCGGCCAAGAACAGGGCTCAAGACCTCGCAGTGTTCCTCACCCTCCCTCTCAGCCTCTCCGGGCAGTCCCACGCGACCACAGATGCGGCAGAAGATAGAGAACAAGCCCCTTCAAGAGCAACTTCCCGTAAACCAGATTAAAACTGAACCTGTGGATTATGAGTTCAAACCCATAGTGGTTGCTTCAGGAATCAACTGTTCAGCCCCTCTACAGAACGGGGTTTTCAGTGGTGGTGGCCCCTTACAGGCAACCAGTTCTCCTCAGGGTGTGGTGCAGGCCGTTGTTCTGCCAACGGTGGGTTTGGTGTCCCCCATCAGCATCAATTTAAGTGATATTCAGAATGTACTTAAAGTGGCGGTAGATGGTAACGTCATCAGGCAAGTTTTGGAGAATAATCAAGCCAATCTTGCATCCAAAGAACAAGAAACAATCAATGCTTCATCCATCCAGCAAGGCGGCCATTCTGTTATTTCAGCCATCAGTCTTCCTCTGGTTGATCAAGATGGAACAACCAAAATCATCATTAACTACAGTCTTGAACAACCTAGCCAACTTCAAGTTGTTCCTCAGAATTTGAAAAAAGAAACCCCAGTCCCTACCAACAATTGCAAAAGTGAAAAGTTACCAGAAGATCTTACTGTTAAGTCTGAAAAGGACAAAAGCTTTGAAGGGGGAGGGAATGACAGCACTTGCCTCCTGTGTGACGACTGTCCCGGGGACATCAATGCACTTCCGGAGCTAAAGCACTATGACCTGAAGCAGCCCGCCCAGCCCCCTCCGCCCCCCACCCCAGAAGCTGCCAAGCCCGAGGCCTCCGTTCCATCGGGGTCCGGAGATGGCAGTTTGTCTCCCAGTCAGCCACCTTTAAAGAACCTCTTGTCTCTTCTGAAAGCATATTATGCTTTGAACGCACAGCCAAGTGCAGAAGAGCTCTCAAAAATTGCTGATTCCGTGAACCTACCACTGGATGTAGTGAAAAAGTGGTTTGAAAAGATGCAAGCAGGACAGATCTCAGTGCAGTCTTCTGAACCATCTTCCCCGGAACCAGGCAAAGCCAACACCCCTGCCAAGAGCGATGATCAGCCTCAGGCTGCAGATGCAGATGAAGCCCAGGACAGCACAGGGAACCGCCAGAGCCCTCTGAAGAGAGCTAGCTCTCCCGTCTTACCAGGGGGCTCGGCCGTCAATGGTTCCAGAAGCAGCGCCTCCTCCCCTTCCCCACTGAACCTCTCTTCCTCCAGAAGCGCACAGGGTTACTCGTACCCGACAGAAGGGGCGCAGGAAGAGCCGCAGGTCGAACCTCTTGATCTCTCACTACCAAAGCAGCAGGGCGAGTTATTGGAAAGGCCAACTATCACTAGTGTTTACCAGAACAGTGTTTATTCTGTCCAGGAAGAACCCTTGAACTTGTCTTGTGCAAAAAAGGAGCCACAAAAGGACAGTTGTGTTACAGACTCAGAACCAGTTGTAAATGTAATCCCACCAAGTGCCAACCCCATAAATATTGCTATACCTACCGTCACTGCCCAGTTACCCACGATCGTGGCCATCACTGACCAGAACAGCGTTCCGTGCTTGCGAGCACTGGCTGCCAACAAGCAGACCATCCTGATCCCCCAGGTCGCCTACACATACTCAACCGCAGTCAGCCCAGCGGTCCAGGAAACACCCTTGAAGGTGATCCAGCCCAATGGAAATCAGGTAAAAAAGAAAAAAAACCACTCCCAGCCCCAATCCATTGATCAAATGCTAGTCTGATTTATTTTAGTGAATTTCTCTAATAAAAATCAGGCATGAGAGAGCCAAGCAGCTTGTTAAACTGTCATGTTTGAAAGGAAATAGCTGACTGTGTGCGTTAGCTGCTGCGGCATCTTGGCTTTTGTTGTTTACTGATCCAGAGTGTAGTTTTCAACTGCAGTTTTAAGTGTTATTTTTGCTGAAAAGAGGGTTGATGGGTCTCGGCTGTAAGACTGACTGACTGAAACTAGAGATGGAAGAGGAAAGTAAAATTCAAATACTCATTAATCAGACTTCTGTTTATAGTTAAGTTCCCAGAATTCATCATAGTTTCTGCCTTGATGATGATTATCAGCAAATGAAAATTTGTTCACAGATGTTTTATACCAGGCAAACCTAGCTCTCACTTTTTGTGTTAACCTCTGTTTATAAAAGGCTTTCATAAAGCAAACAAAAATTAAGTATATAAAGAATTCACCTAGTGAGTTTACTGATGATTTTATAAGCTGTAAACTCGTGTTCAATCATCATAATACATGAGGAAACACAGTTGTGAATCTGTGTTTGTATTTTCCTCTGTAACACTCTCCAAGTCCATGACAGTTATGATAAAGCTGTTTTGCATGACTGTTGTGTGTCTCACTGTCTGGACTTTGTCTGTGTCACTGACCTTGATGTCTCCATTTTTTCCATCAATTTCTGATTAAATTTATCTCCAGTATTCATTTGATTCAATCTTTTTTCCAAATACTTGCTACAAGAAGATGCAACTAAAATAATTATAATATCCTGTTCAAGTATATGTTTTGCTACTTTTGTCTCCTGTTGCTACCAATGGGTCTTCCTGTAATTGTGGTAACCTTGAAAAAGTTTTCACATGGCTAAAATTTTTCATGAAGTCTAAATTTTAAGTGTATAAAACACTCTTCACACCTCTGAAGAATAAACTGGGAAATTCCAGTTAATGGATCCAATAAGATTTAGAGTCCCTTTAACACCAGTGGCAGCTCACAAGTGACAGAAAAATGTCTGTCAGCACTTCCCCCACCTTATTGTTTAGTCGCTCAGCTCAGTTGTATCTGACTCTTGGCGACCCCGCCAGGCTCCCCTGTGCACGGAATTTCCCTGGCAAGAATACTGGAGTGATTTGACATTTCCTCCTCCAGAGAATCTTCCTGCACCAGGGATTGAACCCACATCTCCTGCATTGGCAGGCAGATTCTTTACCACTGAGCCACCAGGGAAGTCCTCTCCCGCCTTACAAAGCTGTAAGAAATTGTGGGAAACCTCTAAACTTGTGGGAAATGTGTGAGTTTAGGATGGAAGTCTTCAGGAAAGACACAGGATCTTAGGGGCCCAATCCCACTGCAGGCTCCCTGCAGAATTCTTCCACCTACAGGAGACCCTGCTGCCAGTTTTCTCCCTAACCCTCACCCCAAAACTCTGAAGATTCACCATCAAGCAGGGATTCTTGTTTAAAAACACAGCATTGTTTTTCCATCTTGCTTAGAAAAGTGATAGAACAAACCTCCCTCTTTATAAGGAGACAATGAAGTTTAGTTCACAAAATTCTAAGGTCCTGGAAGATACAATTTAAAGACCACTTTTAAGAAACAGAATCCTAATTTTCACTTGGTGAAACCCAGAAGGTAAATGATGCAGTTAGAAATTCACGACTGTTTAGCAGACGCATCAGTTAAAACGTTCTGCAGACTTCTGGTAAATTAATTCTACAGAGGGGACTACGAGCGTTCTCCGCAGCGTCCTTTCTTTCCGTGCCCGCTGACCCTGGGCTGCCTTTGCTGTTTGACTGCACTGCCCCCTCACCTGAACCTTCCCTTGGAGCCTGCTTTGGTCAGGTTGTTGAAAGCAGAAATCAAAGTTCCTTCAGCTCTGCTTTTATTTATGTCTGTAGTTTATCCTGTAATCGTAAATGAACATTTCCTACTTCCTTTTTTCCTCTAGGATGAAAGGCAAGACACTAGCTCAGAAGGAGTATCCAACGTAGAGGATCAGAACGACTCCGATTCCACGCCCCCCAAAAAGAAAATGCGGAAGACAGAAAACGGAATGTATGCTTGTGATTTGTGTGATAAGATATTTCAAAAGAGTAGCTCACTGTTGAGACATAAATACGAACACACAGGTATGTATGTTAAGGAAGCTGCCAGTTATGCAGAGTTGAATTGATGGCTATTTCCATAACCGGAAGTGCCCCAAGGCCTAGCGGCTCCATGCTGTTTTATTTCATAGCTGTGCCCTTATTTTCAGGTAAAAGGCCCCACGAGTGTGGCATCTGCAAAAAGGCGTTTAAACACAAGCATCACCTGATCGAGCACATGCGCCTGCACTCCGGGGAGAAGCCCTACCAGTGCGACAAGTGCGGGAAGCGCTTCTCCCACTCGGGCTCCTACTCCCAACACATGAACCACCGCTACTCCTACTGCAAGAGGGAGGCCGAGGAGCGGGAGCCCCCCGAGTCGGGGGCTGCGGGCCCAGGGGTCCCACCCGAGCAGCACGCGGGGCAGGGCGACTCGGACGAGAGGGAGAGCTCGACGCGGGAGGAGGATGAGGACAGCGACAAGGAGGAGGAGGAGGAGGAGGAGGAGCGGGAGCTGGAGGAGCTGGAGGAGAAGGGAAGTGGAGTGGCGCGAGGGCCGGAGGAGGTGGAGGACGGAGAGGAGGACGGCGAGGAGGAGATGGACGACGAGGAGGACGAGGACGAGGAGGTGGAGGATGAAGGGGAGAGAGCAGAAACGGAAGGTGTGGGGCAGGGGGCGGGGGCTGGAAGCCAGGCCCACAGCTTAGAACACAAAGTAAGTGAGGGCAGCGAGCAGGTGTCCGAAGAGAAAACAAATGAAGCCTAATAGTTTTTCTAGAAAAGAAAGAAAATTCTAATTGGTAATGAAGTTTTGTTCTATATTATACATGCTTTTCATGGAAACACAGTAACCTGTATACTGTGATTTCTGTTCACTACTGTGTAAAGTAAAAATTTAAAAAAACACAAAATCAAAAAAAAAAAAAAACCACACAAAAAAAAATCCGGGTGTGCCTGAACCTCAGACCTAGTAATTTTTCATGCATTTTTCAAAGTTAGGAACAAGTTTGTAACATGAAGCAGATTAGAAAACGTAATGACTCAGAAAGCAGAGATTTAACAGGTTAAAGAAAGCTAATTGATTAGATGAGCACCTGACATTGTTTCATTTTATCAGTATTAATTAGCACTCTTACGTTGGTTTATTCTTAAGCTGTACAATTGGGAGAAATTTTATAATTTTTTATTGGTAAACATATGCTAAATCCGCTTCAGTATTTTATTATGTTTTTTAAAATGTGAGAACTTCTGCACTACAGAATTCCCTTCACGGAGAAGTATAATGCAGTTCCAAACCGTGCTAACTACCTTTTCTAAATTCAACCTAGAAGGTAGTCATTTCTAATATTTAGATGTCACAGTAGAGCGTATTCTCATTTAAAGTGTATTGTTAGCCTTAAGAAAGCAGCCGCTAGAAGAGCTGAAGTTTCTTACTCATGTGGTTTAAAATGGAGTTGACGAGATTGCCGTTGAGTTCTGATTGCAGGGACTAACAGTGTTGATACTGGTGAGACAGCAGAGACGTCAGAATCAGTGTTTGTAATTGTGTTTGCGTACGTGGTACACAAATATGAAGGATGTGATATGAAGCTTTGTATCTCCTCTGGCCTTAAGCAAGACCTGTGTGCTGTAAGTGCCATTTATCAGTATTTTCAAGGCTCTGACCAGCCTCCGTTCATGCGTGGCCTACAATAACTAGCATTTGTTGATTTGTTTCTTGTATCAAAATTCCAAAATAAACTTAAAAACCACTGACTCTGTCAGAGAAGCCAAACACTGGGACATTTCACCCTTTAATTCCTCAGTATTCATTTTGCGTTAATTGACTTTCAGAATTTCTCTACCGAAACTAAAGGGAAATTTTCTAATCTGCTTTATCCATGTACTTGCATTTCAAACATGGACCTGCCATTGTTATTTGGCTCATAACTGTTTCCAAATGTTAGTTATTATGGACCCAGTTTATTAACAACATTAGCTGATTTTTACCTATCAGTATTATTTCTTTTAGTTTATAGATCTGTGCAACATTTTTGTACTGTATGTCTTCAAACTTGGCAGTATTAATACCCTTCTTACTGACATATGTACTTTTAGTTTTAGAAAACTTTTATATTTATGTGTCTTATTTTTATATTTCTTTATTTATTACACAGTGTAGTGTATAATACTGTAGTTTGTATTAATACAATAATATATTTTAGTATGAAAATTTGGAAAGTTGATAAGATTTAAAGTAGAGATGCAATTGGTTCTCTTGCATTGAGATTTGATTTAACAGTGTTATGTTAACATTTATACTTGCCTTGGACTGTAGAACAGAATTTAAATGGGAATGTATTAGTTTTACAACTGCAATCAAGTCATTTTACCTTTACCCAGTTTTTAATATAAAACTCTTAAATTTTGAAATTCACTGTGTGACTAATAGCATGATGCTCTGCGGTTTTATTAAGAGATTAGTCTAACCATAAAACTCTCATTTCCTTAGGAAGCCAAATTAGGATAACCTCATGTAAACAGTGTTGGGAACAATGTTTAACATTTTGTGCCAATTTGTTCCTGTATTCATGTATGTAAGTTACAAATCTGACTCTTCATTTTTAAGTTCCTTGTTACACCATGGTCATTTTCTAGTTTTTTACCAGACTCCCCATCTCACAATAAAATGCATCAACAAGCCTGACTTGCTGTCCTTCTTTTAATCATTGTCAAGAGTTTCTCTGGAAAACTCTGTAAAGTGGGTATACAGTCATCCTGCTCTGGGTGTATCTTGGGCTGAGTTTGGGTAAATTCAATTCCCCACTAAGTCAGGGATTTTCCTGCAACTGGTGTTTCTGGGGATGTCAGAGGTGACAACGAATGGCCAACTCAGAGCTTGCGTCCTCATCCAGAAGCTTTTACCCCCAGTCCAGATCTGTGACCTGTCACCCTCGGGAAGCTGGGTGAATTCACTGTCTTTCCTCTTTGCTCCCCCAGCCTTTGCCTTCCTCACCTCAGCCCTTACACTGTCACTCACGCCCTTCACACCAGGACCAGGATCCTCTGGGCCACCAGCCAGGTCACTCTCCTGCCCCAGTGCCCAGCACAAGTCCATGCGGCCATGTGTGCTGAACGATAATATAATTTACATGTTAAAAGAGCTCAGCTATGTCTTTACTACTCTTTTGCTTTTTTGTATATGTTAAATGATTTCAGCAATTTGATAATGTCCTTATTCAGGTCCTATTAAACACTAAACATAATAGACAAATAGTAAACTCCCTTTCTGTCTTTCTATTCTGATTTGTGAGTTTATTTCTAGGTGTCTTCCTTGTGCTTAACCTCATGGTACATGACCACAGATGCTCAAGGCCTCTGGGGGGAGTGTCGGCACCCATCCTCACAAATTCCCGTGAGGACCCCTTTCCTTCTGAGGGCCTCACATTCCCAGGATAACGCTTCACCACTTCTGTCACAGAAAAAAGCTCCCCAATAAGCACGATAGAGGTTACAGTTCAGTCGCTCAGCTGTGTCCAACTCTTTGCGACCCCATAAACCACAGCACGCCAGGCCTCCCTGTCCATCACCAACTCCCGGAGTTCACCCAAACCCATGTCCCTCGAGGCGGTGATGCCATCCAACCATCTCATCCTGTCATCCCCTTCTCCTCCTGCCCTCAATCTTTCCCAGCATCAGGGTCTTTTCAGATGAGTCAGCTCTCTGCATCAGGTGGCCAAAGTATTGGAGTTTCAGCTTCAGCATCAGTCCTTCCAGTGAACACTCAGGACTGATCTCCTTTAGGATGGACTGGTTGGATCTCCTTGCAGTCCAAGGGACTCTCAAGGGTTTTCTCCA